GATATAAATATCGGTGTCAAAATGTGGTGGAAAAATCACAGTATTGTATGATCTACAAAGATATAGAAAAGAAACAAAAACTTAGCATAATAGTAGTGAATAAAAGTAGTAAAATAATAGTATAACAGTATATAAAAGTAGAGACAGTGTATAAAAGTAGACAGTATATAAAAGTAGTACATATGATAAGAAAGTAGCTTAAAATAAAATTAAAATAATTTATTTAATTATAAAATATTAAAATATTCTTTTGTGAATTTCTGTCACGTTTCACTGATTGTTCTAATATTACCTTTCACAAGCTAAATTACTATCGTTCCAACAGTGTCAAGTACAAGTAATTCTTCTCACATTTTCAATAATTTCTGCCGTAGGTACAATTAATAAAAACAATGAAGTCTGAATTACTTGATCTACCCTGAACGAAACTACAAATTATCACAAATCTTTCAACGTGCACGATATAATAATCAAGTAGACATCGAGCGTTACGCGAAAGCCATCCATCTCCGTCGCTTCGACTTTTTTTTTCTTATCGTGCGTGTCCGACACGTCAACCCTAATAATAATCGTGGAATGATAATTGGACGTGGGTGTCAGCTGTCCTAATTGTACGAGCTCGTGCCAAGGAGCACTACACAGGTACACATCAGAAATTTTCGTTGCTCGAATAAGTACGCGCCAGCGTATTTCAAATTATTCCGGTGATTATCGAGTGACGTCGAGTAGACGTTGGAGTGACTCGGAAACGATTGTCACTCGCGTGCTCGACGGTCGGACGATCGAGTGGCATCGACAGGGTTTTCCAGGGTTTTCCTGGGAAATGGTGAATGCGGGGGCGTTCGATTTATTTCGATCGGCCGACGGCGCGGATGATATCGGTAATCTCTGAATGATCTCGTGGAACGATGGTCGTCGACGTCCAACTGATTGCGGTCATAATCGTGCACGGCCAATGGTACTTCGTGCCTCGAAAGGGTTAATGAGCAGATGTTTTTAAATCGCGCGCACATTTATTTCGTATTCAAACAACGATGGTTCTCGCGTTCGAGATTTGTCTTGATAACGAGCTCTCTACGACCACCGTGACTACTGCATGCATGTGTGTATACGGTGATGAATATAAACGCTAACGGAAGCACACTTTTGCCGCTTGCAAGTGTCGGCGAACTTTTTCGTCGATTTGCGGCAACACGGTATTTACGTACAGAGCGTTTCAGGTTTCTTCTGTGGAATGATACCGGCGTATTCATAGGAAGAAAGACAAGAACTTTCACGCGGCCTCGTGAATTCCGTGTGAAAACGTTATAACGAAAATACGAAATGAGAGTAAACTATCATTAACGCCAATGACGGATAAACGAGGGGGATAAACTTTTTGATTTGCAAAATAATCAAACATCGTTTACTCGAGGGGAACAAAGAAATTTGTGATGCATTCGCTGAAATTGAAGGAAATCAAGAAATTTTGAATTTTTTTTAATTTTTTAAGGCAATCAGAACTCGACGAAATTAATATCTATAAATATTGTAAATCTATTTCCATGTTGAAACTGACGTTTGAAATTTTTGTAAAATGTTATATTGTATTTTAATAAAATTTATGAGTTCGTGCTTACAATACAACTATAATATATATATTTTATTTTCACCTGCTAACAGAACATGCTAACATCATTTTATGAAAAAGTATCTGCAACATTCTGTACAACAGTGTAAATAATTATAAACTAAAAAAGAATTCGTATATTTAATATTCTGATGAATTATAGATTTCATAATATAGATATCAATAATGATTTTATTTTTCTTTTAATTGTACAAGAATTATAGAAAAGTAATGGATTAACGATAATAAGAAGCATTGCAATTTGCTATAGAATCTGGAAACTATTTTTGATCTGAAATACCTATAGCTACAAATAAAAATAAATAATAATAAATACGATAAAAATCCTGATAACATAAATATTAAAATTGATTAAAGTAATGACAGAGAGTCATACATTTCAGTTTTTTATTTTATTTAGGCATTTAATTTTATTTGGTATTTATATTTTTATCAGAAATCGAAATAAATAGTTATCTGTTGTTTTTAAAACAAAAATCTGTTCGAGCATGTATGTTTCATTTAAGAAAATATTTATTTCTAAATTTTTATGGGAAAGTTCAATAGCAACAAGTTATTTTTTGCATTAAAGTTAATGACTTTAGGAGATAAATAAATCAAATTATTTTTATTTGTAATATTATATAATATAGTATTACTGGAAGTTCAAATTAAACTGTAGTTTGATGCAATAACAATTGACCAACCAAATTGATGATTGAAACACGGATATTACATTTCTTTATAAATGTGTTTGCATTCATTAATATGCCTTGGCTTCATAACTATTCATTTTAAAAAGAAACACAAACAAGCTTGAAATTATTAATTGAATTTATTACAAACAACGTATTCAGAATATTTAATATTGTTGCTATACTATAATGGTACTGAATAATATTAATATTGTTATAATACTATATAAACATTATAATGATTGAGAATTTCTTTAATATTATTAATGAACGAATTACCTTTTCTTTTAATTATTATAGTAAATTCTATCCAAAATGAAACTTTTATTTTCAAGAACTGTTATTTATCTGTTCTAGTTGGAATTTATAATGTGAGGACATTTTTAAAAAAATTATACGGTTCATGTTTTAAATAAATACAACTCATCAAAAAGTTGAATAATTTTTCCTATCTCTGAATTTTATTAATTTTATATTTCTAATTTTAAAGTAAATGAAATTTTTACTATAGTACTGGATCCATGTACAGGTACTTTCATAATCCAAATTACCATAACTTTCAAAAGTTCATAAATTTTCTACTTGAATTTGAAATTTAAAATTTTTCAGCTTGATCTTTATCTTATTTGACAAATGTTCTAACACTTATAGGCCGATACGTATATCATTTATTATTAAAAAAAATTAAATAATGTTTGGAAATTTTCTTTTTCCAACATGTTTTTTCATTTTTGAAGTAACTGATTAGTTATAAGTGAAGTAAATTTTAATTTATATATAGATTGTACACGATTGGAAACTATCGTTATGTATGAATAATTACTATAGTTAAGACATAATAGAACTTACGATAGAATTTTATGTAACAAATTCTTAAGTTTAGTGATTATATTTGAAAACAATCGAACGTTTATACAACAAAAAAATAAAATATATGCTATATGAGACTTTCAAGTATTCTAATAATAATAATAATTCTAATAATAATAATAATAATATATAAATTGATATAACACTTACTCGAACATTCTGTGCTTGATATCTTTTCTGTTACCCTATTAATATCCATTTGAAATCTGGAATTATTGCGATGGTGCTTTTTTTACAGAGTTTCATTAGAGAAGTTTTTGAAGAAAACATACGCTTGAAAATCATACGCTTGAACAAAGCGGTTCGAGTTGTTTCGTATTTTCCAAAAAGTGATAATATTATCACTGAAATGTAAATTATGCGACTGTAATTTTCGTCTTTGGTCAACTGTTCGTTAGTCTCTAATATTCCATTATTTTCAACGAAATAAATAAATAAATAAATAAATAAATAAATAAATAAATAAATAAATATATATATATAACATAATTATCTGCAAAGATTTAAACAAAATTAATATTCATTTAAAACGATTGATCTTATGTTATACATTGACAAACAAAGAAACAATTCAAAATTCAACATTCTGGAAATTTCAAATAATAACAGCAATCAAAATATTTGATATACTTTGTGTACAGTAAACGTTAATGAGTTAATGGGATAATTATATATTTCTCAGTTGATAATGACAACGCATTTTTTTTTATATTATAAATATTATATTATATTATATTATATATAACATAATATATAATTATATAAATATTATATAATAATAATATAAAATTATATTATATATTATTATATTTTTTATATTTTTTAAACATAATTACGTTATAAACAAAAAAATATTGATTCTGAATCTTCGTTAGAACAACCGTATAAGATGTACAAAAATCATTTTAATATTTTTAATATTTAATAAAATGTCTCATCTCTTTGTAAACGATCATAGTTATGTCATTGATAAACTTCATTAAAATAACTAATTGAGTACATATCTCCCAAATCGATTTTCTTCAAAATAATTTACAAAAATTTTCTGTTTCTATATTCTCGTTTTACTTTTTCTCGCAGAATTATATTTTTATACTTTTATTTCATACTTTTTACTTTATAACACTTCAACACCAGTCAGACCAAAAAGTCTCTATTTGCACGACATTAAAACTTCAAAGGACAATAAATAAATAATATTTAAACAATAGAATTTAGAAATGTAAAATCTATTATCAATGCAAAGAAGAAGAAATTTACATTCGTTTGTTAACAATCAAACTAACAAAAAAAAGAAAGGATAATGTAATACAAATAACAGAGAGGAAGTTATGTGTAATGTGTTACAAGTTAATGTGATGAATTGAAATTTCTCCGACTGTATTGTATTATAAAATAAAGTGGAAGTTTCTTATAAAACTATTCTATCTTCCACTTTCATTCCTTTTCTTCATAATGGAAAATTACACTGCGATGAATCGAAACTTTTCAGACTGATTGTATATTAGACGTAAGCCTAAAAGAATAATAAGTCGATATTATAAGATTTTTATCCTCCAATTTTGTTTTCCTGTTTCTTGATGAAAAATTACGTTGTTCGATAATACTAGATTTAGCAAAACCGCCGCGTGTGTCAGGCGTGCGAGTAGCAAAATACCAATTAAATTCTTTAAGCGTGTAAGCAAAGGGCGGGAATTCCTAACGGGAACGGTCTAATGGATACCATTGCTCTCGCGAAAGCGGGAGGAAGCTAGTCTAGCTAGAATCCGTGAAAAATGTCCGGAAAGGAGGTGGTAGCGAGAATATTGTCACGTGGACGCACTTACCCGCGCAAAGGTCTTCCATTTTTCCTCGAGTAATCGCTGAATAATACCACCGTCCAGCATGTCCAAGTGCTCCTCCTTCGTACCGTTCAGAATGATAAATAGCGCGGAGTTCCAGTCTGAAATAGAAATTCGGAGAGGACCATTTGCGGTTAATGGAACATCACTTTAGGGTTCTCTCTACGTCGCGATAATTATGGGTTTTGCATTAGCGGCTATATATATTAGATGCACGAGTTTCCACAGGAGGAAGACCGGCGAAGGGGGGAGGGACGCTGGCTTTTTCTGTAACCGCGCCACGTGCGCTGGTTAAACTTTCTTGCATGTAAAGATAAAAGTTTACGCCGGCCCATCCCGATTCTGCCGGCCGCGGAAGAATTCCATAGAATCGTTAATCTGCTGGCCGAACTTGCCAAAACTCTAGGCTATAATGTTAGTTCCATGCACTGGTTTGAATTGTCGCGCCGAACCCATGTAAATGACGACTTCCGCGCGCCGTTAGCGTTGGTCAGTAACGTACACGCCATGATAGAAACGAATTTGCGCAATGAACGTATATAAAATACTGCCAGCGAGTGTACGTACACGTTCGTTGAAAGTGAATGTGGAAGATGTGAATCGTTTGAAATCAGCCGCCGCGACTATTATAACCAGAATTTATAAAATTATAATTTATAGAATATCAATTTCGTTTTTTCTTGTCTCTTTTGCTAGTAAATGTTTTTCATTAGAAACGACGATTACAAAAAATTTCTTCGTTATCAGCAATCATTATTGAGAACAATTTATTTCGGTTGTTCGCAACGGTTATCGATAAGGAAAATTCCCGCGAAATTTAAATTGGAAAGTAACTTTGCGGTTTTTAAAATGTTTTTTCAATGCGTTTGCGAAGAATTATTTCGATCGAATGTAAACTAATAGTTTGCATCCGCAGTTTGTTACACTGGCAGAATTTTTCTTGTCTTTTTATAAACGATCGAAATAGAATTTCGCTCGTCGATAATGAAAAAAACTTTTAGTCACTTGTAATTGTTATTCGTAACCGAAACGTTCAATTTCTTTTAATCATGCAGTTCTTTGGAAGTCTACATTTTGAGATTAATATTAACTTAAATAATAAATAAGCTTCAGTAACTGATTCTTCTCAAAATCTTCTCAAAAGATTTTTGGGACAATTATTATTTTTGGTCACTGTTTGAAATTAATAAGTTTACATCCACTAACAATTAAAGCACAGCTTCGTGAAAGTTTATCTGAACTTTTGCTAATTGGAATTGGAGAAAAGAAAGTTTCTGAAACAAAATAATAAAGAAATCTTTTCGATTAATGTTTTCATTTGCGACGGTATCTTAAAAGATTATGATATTCCAAGGTACAGTCCTTCGTATTTAAAACTAATGACAAGCAACTGAGACGCTTATAAAACTAAAAGTACTTTCAGTTATACTAATGAATTTAAGCTAATAATAGTTTACGTTTACTCCTTTCCACTTTAATATATATATATATATATATATATATATATATATATATATATATATATATACTGTGAGCTTGAATTCATAGGCTTAAATAATTCAAATGCTATGATAAAATAAAAAGATAGAAATCAAAAACAGAAATTGCATTTAAAAAAACATTCAAATACGTAAATATTTAATTGATTCCTAACTATTCCATATCCAAAAATAAGTCGAAAATAAAAAAATACAATTCTGTGACGTAAAGTTTCATTTCGAGTTTGAAAATTTAAAAAAAAAAACTTGCCTGAAGGGCCAGCTCTTTCCTCCAAAATGTAAAAATTATATTTCGGGTTATTTTCTAATGTAGAATAACATACATATTCTTGCCTAATCTAGATTGTAATTAGGTAAACTCATGTAATTTGTCACTTGACAAATTTTCGTACTCAATTTTCTGAAAAATTCAATTTTTATTCGTTAAATTCGTCAAAATCTCGTTATTATTCTGAACTATAGAATCTCTTTGACTATACACGCACCGAATTTTATAAGTGTATGTGAAATCCAATAAATTGTAACAGAACAAAAAGTATTTTTTTTTTTTTAGCCGGAAAACTTTCAGTAAAACTTTTCTTTGAGAAATTTCGGTTCTACAATTTCATTTCAAAACTTTTTAATACGAAATATATAATGTTTATATTACACGAAAATATACGGCGGTTAATATGATCTTTATACAATTTGAAAACTCACCAGATTTAGGTAAGAGGAAATTCTTTATGTAGAACATATTTTTATCATTTATTATGCGAAATAATTACTTATTCCCAAGTACTTTATGACTTGCATTATTCATCAGTAACTTACAGACTTTGTATTTGGTTAATTTTGTTTACTCGTAGCTATAAATTACTTTTAAATATCATTCTTAAACATTCTTAAACATATTAACCTGAATACCAAGAATAAAAATAAAAAGAGGGATAATGATATAATATTGTTGTCAAATATTATGTTTCAGAAATTTAATTATCGTATGGTGAATTTTTTAAAATTAATGCTATAATTGATTTACTTTGGCCGAAAGATATTTGTTAATTTCATCACTTCGTCGCCAAAATCATTATTTTTTTACTTCACTGTTAAAGAAGGACACATGCATTAACTTTATTTTTCAGTTAGTAATCATTAAACAATAAGAAATTATAATTATACTTTGAATGTATTTTGAATGTTCAATTATATTATACTTTAAATGTTTTGTACATTTTTACGTAAATGCATTGCGTCCACGTAAAATTTTCCATGAATGCATAAAAAAGAATTACGCAACTTGGTAATCATTTTCAAACCTGCTATCAGCGATACCAATTGCTTTTTCTAAACACAGGCTTCAGAATTATTTATTATTGTACTCGTTACAAATTATTAACATGTGATAACAAATGCAAATTTAAAGATAAACTGGAAAAAAAGTAAAAAAAAAGATGGTATCGAGCCGGTTTCCCATTTAAACTGACAATACTTACTCTTAAAACGGATTTTACTTTTAAAAAACGCGTCTCGTGCATAGTTTCTTTTCTAAGTCATCAACTCCCATTTTATTTTAATTAGATTCGCACACTAATAATTTACGATGAGTGCAGCAATAAAAGTAATTCCGTCGATTGCAAAGTTTAATTGCTGTTACTCAATTTTTGCCAACAGAAAAACAATAGAGTTGCTGAAATTCACAGACATAAGTTCACAGACTTAATATTATTGATAGACTGTGGATATATTTATGCATTTCAATATTTTCGTAAACATAACTGAACAATTGCAATAGAAATACTCGTTTCATTCGCTAAATAAAATTATAAAATGTACTTTACTTTTAATATTCCATACGTTCTCCATTATTATATATATTTTTATACCCTTAAGTTTTCTAAAACTGCATAAAAATCTGCAATCTAATTATCAGTAATAATGAAGTAAAACAATGATGTCGTTTGCTTCAAGAAGGGCGAACGTATGAAAAAGATCTTGCTGACTAATTTCCTTAAACGTGGAAAACTTATCAATACGAATTCTGATAAAATTTCCGCCATGTTATTTAAAAAATGCGGACTGTCTCTAGTGAGATTATGCTTTTGCATATTCGACATCACATTGTTGTTGGAACTGTACAAATATTGGAACAATTTCACTAGAAAGTTTTTTAACCCATCAATTCTAAAGTTCTGATCGTGCTTCAAGTGACTACCATTTATTTTTGCATTCTAAAAAAATGGTTATTATCGCAGCGATTTGAAAGTGATAGCGAATTAAAGAATGGCTAATCAATGCCATGTTTTCGTGACTTTCTCTGAGATAAAAAAAGCTGTTAATATGATGTCAAAAATGTATAGTCCAAGTCTATAAGCAACTATGTAAAAAGATTTATACACATAAATATAATATAACATAAAATATATATAATATAGTATAACAATATGTAATATAATATAATAATATAATAATAATATATAATATAATAATAATATAATAATATAATAATAATATATAATAATAATATATAATATAATAATAATATATAATATAAAATTGTATGTATGTATATACATATTTTGTAGCTAAAATAAATCATTTATATCTTTTACTTTAAAACACGAACTAATAATTACTAAATATAAATTACTAATAATTTATCAATGCGATTATTATACAATTGTAAAGTTTTTTGAACATAATTAAAGAAACGAAACCTAAATAGAAATTTATTTAATTTAGTAGACATTGTAATAAATATTTATTTATTTTATACTTTGCATATTTATTTATTTTAAGTACTTTTTATCATATTGGGCATTTTTGCATTCCCAGATTTACTATATCTATATTTATTTATCCCAGATTTACTATATCTATTTATTCCCAGATTTACTACATACTATATTCATTTATTTTATACTTTGCATATTTATTTATTTTAAGTACTTTTTATCATATTGGGCATTTTTACATTCCCAGATTTACTATATTTAAAAACCATACTTTAAATACTTAAAAATCTGGAAATTCATTCGTCAAAGTTGCAAACAATTAATTAATTCCCTCATTGAACGATGAGTTTCCCATTGAAAATAATAAATAAATATATTATATACATAATATAATATAAATATTATATATAATAATATATATATTATTATATTATATATTATATTTTACTATTATAATATCATTACAATAATATATATATTATTTATAAATATATTATAAATATACAATAAAAAATTTCTTTTATGGCTGAAATAAATCATTCACATTTTTTACGCTTCTTTCTATATTTTTAAATGGATCTTACTTTGAAACACAAATATTTTATCTAAACCATCAAAAAATTAATTACTTGCACCCTCCCCCCAATGTTTAAAAATCTAGAATCATTCGTCAAAGTTGCAAACAATTAATTAATTCCCTCATTGAACGATGAGTTTCCCATTGAAAATAATAAATAAATATATTATATACATAATATTTATATAATATAAATATTATATATAATAATATATATATTATTATATTATATATTATATTACATTATTATAATATTATTACAATAATATATATTATTTATAAATATATTATAAATATACAATAAAAAATTT